CTGCCTGATGGCTCTGCAGCCTTTCTCTGCTGTCTGGACGGTGATCCAGCCGTTGGGTTAACAGACAGACAGCTGATGCTGATCCAATGCAGCCCCTGCAGCACAGGCAGAATCTTATAACAAATAAACCATCTCTGATTTCCCCACACATTCATATTTAGCACAGCCTGCCTAAAGATGATGGTGTGCATGTATTAATAATCTGCTCTGTCAGGCAGCGAGTGAACCCAGTGAACCTGGATCAGGCGTAAACACAGAGCTGTGCTCTGGGTCATCTTGTCACCACTGGAATAAAAGCACCTAGCGGCCTGATTCCCCTGTAACCCTTCGCTTTCTGCCACCCCCCCATCCCCCGGCACAGAGGCACCAAAGCCTCTGCCTCCCGGTATTCTGTTTCTAGGAACTGAGCTCCACCGCCAGCCCGGCTGGAGGTGCTGATGTGGGGAAATAAGGAGGCCCAGAGGCTTTAAAGTGAGTGGAGGGCCAGAATGTGACGCTTTGCTCTCAGGAGCATCCAAGCAAGGTGGACGATTGCAACCTCTGTCCAAAATGAAACTGCAGAAGCATTCGTTTCGTTCTTAATCAGCGATTTTTAAAATCTGATTGGTGAACTGTGCCAGACAGAAGGAAGGAAATAATGAGGAACGATCGGCTGTGGCACTGCGGAATGACGGGGAGGTGAAGTGGAAGTGGGTGCAAACCAAAAATAAAGAGATGGGCTGAGCAGACAAAAAAAACACTAAGAACTGAAAAAAACAAGAGCAGAGGGAAGGAGGAGGAGGAAGAGTCTCTGAAGGAGGAGGAGGAGGAGGCTCTGCTGCTGCTCCTGCTGCTGATGTCGGAGCACAGCCCGGCCAAGCTGAACCCAGTGAACTGCAGTGGAGGTCAGGGAGTCCAACATTCCTCTGGAGCACTGTGTTTACACTGCGTAACAGAGAGGAGGAGGAGGAGGAGGGGGAGGAGGAGGAGAGGGGAGAGGGAATGGGTCAGGGGGATGTGAGGGGGACGGCACGCAAGGAAAGGAATCGCTTCCGAAGACACAGCTTTGAGGAAGGGTGTGTGTGTGAGGCCTTTATCCTGTAGCTGCAGGGGGGGCATTTCTAAAACACTGGAGTAACATCCCCCCCCCCCCCCCCCCCCCCCCCCCCCCCCACACGCACACACACACACACACCCCCATCTAAATATGATGAATCCGCAGCTGAACCTGCGGCGACAGACGGACGCTTCCATTAACCGAGAATCAAAAAAACCCCATGCAGAAAACCAAATATGTCTCTAATCAAGCTGGGCACAATTAGATTTATATATTTATTTATTATTAACATGAGAAGAAATAAAAGGTGAAACAATTAATAGATTGAAAAAAAAACCTTTAAGGTAAAGAAATCATTCACCAGTTTTTTTGTTAAAATGACGAAATAACACAAATAAATAAAACTTTTTTGATTAGATTTTCATTTTAATGAAGACTAAAACTTTTAGAACATTTTAAATTTGACAGGATTTACATGGTTTGCATTAAATGTTGCATTTTAGTGTTGCTCATTTATTGAGACAATGTGTTTGAAAAAAAAAATCATATTACTGTCATTTTAATAAACATTTAAATACGTTCTAATTATCTAATCCAAAGAGCAATTCTTGTTATCATCAAATGGATCTAATTAAATGTGTTTTTGAGTTGAACTAAATAAAGGAATTATATTCTTTTTTTTATTATTATTATTTCACCATAACAGTTGCTAAACCCAGGAAAGATCCCAGGCAGGAAAATCCTGCTCAGGGATTGAAATCCAACCCTTTCTGGTGTCAAACAAGCGTCACACTCTGATTAGAACCTGATCGTGTTGCTGTGTTTCCCTTCATCCATAAAGATGCTTCCTTTCTCCATCTGCTGGCACATCGCAGAAACTGCAGAGCAGCAGCAGAGCTGCAGAGAGCCAACCTGTCAGGTTTAGTGGCTGTTTGTAGAGGACCCGAACGCAGAGACACAACCACACAGGATTTCTTCTAGGTTTCATCATGAAGTTAGCGGCAACAGAAGCTTAAATCCAGACTGAACAGGCACGGAAACCAAAACCAGGAGGAAAACTAGTATAAAATAAGAGAATCCAGCAAAGAGAAACTGCACAGGAGGTGTATGCATGGGAGATAGGAACAATGATCAGCTGATAGGGAGCAGGTGTGGACAAGAGCAACTAAAAAGGAGCAAAGGGGAAAGAAAAGGGACACTAGATGGAAACAAACAATAACCAGGATCTAACTGTAACCAGGAAAGAACCTAAATAAAACTAAAGGAAATTAAACTAATCACTACAACAAGATCAAAGAATAAATAATGACAGATATGCTCAAAATATACAACTGAAGGAAATAACAAGAGAGAATAAAACAAAAAAATTGATTAGGAGGTCCTATATGAAGATGATATAAATCCTGACAAAGATAACAAAAAAATAAAGCATAACTGAGAACTCAGAGAGAAAACCAGAAAGGGGAAAATTATGACAGGACTCTGCTGTTGGAAACCTAAATAAGATGACTGTTTTTAAGTTCTGCAACTTTTATTACAACTTTTAAAACTTTTCTTGACTCAATATTATATTTTTAAATTTAAGGAAACAATACTAACGTTGAACACCTGTTGCTCTCAAGGCCTGAAGGCACTAAAAATGGGCTCCAAGATAAATTGACAAAGCAGAGAGCAGCGATGGAGCGGAGACTTTAAGAACGAGCAGATCCTTAAAGGAAAAGTCCGGTCAGCGAGGAATAATCAATGGATCATTATTTATAGCTAAAACGAATACATTTGCGGTAAGGTAAGGAATTTATTGTTAATCAGTAAAAAAATACAATTAATCATTTTCGTTGCCATCCCTGAGTCTGGGAGCGGCCATTTTTGCCCAAATATAGAAGCCCCTCCCTCCTGCCATCTTCCAGCAGTAGGGATGCACGATGTAATCGGCCCCCTATCAGTATCGGCCTTAAAACTGAATATCGGACATCGGCCACCCCACCGATATTTAACCCGATATTTGATCAGCTTCTGAGTTTCTAAAGTCTAAAAATAAAATACTACTTCTTCTTCTTCCTCAAAAACTTCTTTTTTACAGACTTAAAAACTTCTAAAGACGAGGGAAAAAATATTGATACATTAAAATATCCCAATATCTTCATATGCTGATATATTGCCATGTAAAAACACCATATCAATCTCTTTCACTAATGAAATATTGCTATATGTCATCGTTATGCTACGAAATCCCCCGAAAATTCACCAAATGTTGCCATATTTTTATATGTTGATATATTGACGCGGTATCGATCTATTTTACTAACAAAATCTCACAAGAATTTGCAAAATTTCACGAGAGTTTGTAACAGAACGATGAAATTTCACGAGATTTTGAAAGTAAAATAGATCGATACCGCGTTTTTAAAAATCTATTTGATATCAGCATATGAAAATATATTTGACTATATTATTTTTCAAAGTGTCAGAAATGGATAACAAAACTGCTATTTTCAATGACTACTTATTTTTGTCCAGCTTTAACATCGGTATCGGTTATCGGCTACATGAGTTTTAAAATATCGGCATATCGGATATCGGCCAAAATCCCAATATCGTGCATCCCTATCCAGCAGTGACGTCACGGTGCGGTAAGCCTAGCGCCATTCTCCCCGCTTTCCAAGCTAAATCAATGGGAACTACTAGACACATCTGCAATCAACAACAATTATTGAAGATTTCCAGAGGACTTCACCATTGAAATTCACCAGAGCTATAGTGAAACTGACAATGCCCACGTGCATGGCAGCTGGATGCTGGAATACATCGGGTAAAAGTGAAAAAAAGAGTTATTCCACCTTTCTGATTCCTGATCCTCCACGGACGGGTTGGTCGTTGGATCGCCAACTTGAAGAGGGAGGATTTGCCATCGAACTTCTGGCCAGAGAAAAAACCCGTAATATGTAGCCAACATTTGGAAGAAGAATGTTTTCAAGATGACTTGGATAATAGCGCGTTGTGACAAACACCAGATACAGCACTGGGACTTGATCAACAGCCGATACCGCACCGTGACGTCACTAACCAGTAGGTGGTAGTAGTGTTCTTTGACAAACATGGATGCCTCCAGTAAAGCACGTTCACATGAAAATTACTCTGAATTAAAAACACTGATCATTTATTGAATAGGATGGAATCATTGCAGATTTGAAGTACTTTAAATTTGAGGGTGCAAGAACTGACTTTTACAAAAGTCAGTTTTGGTCCCCTGCACTTTAAACAGTCCAAATAAACAATGTTACGCTACAGTACTCAGACAATATTCCAGCACTAGGACCAAGCGGAATACCGCTGCTTAAGCTGAAGCCTGATTCCCTGGGTTTAGACCTCCCACAAGCTCCTGATTGGACCACTGTCTTTTCTAGTGTGATTATCCAGCGTATTACTGACGTCCCAGAATCTCCTAGAAAGCTGGCATACGTTGTATTTTTTTACGTTGTATAATTTTGAGCGTATACATGGAGTATTCATAATGAATACAGAATTTCTGTCCAACGACAGCCTAACGTCTGCATAACGCACGGCAGAGTAATGCCCATGAAATGATGCCCAAGCCAGCATCCTGAGGGGGGCAGCGATGCGCCTTGAGGCGCCCGGCCTGCAGAAAAATATTTCTGTGATCGCGGTATTAACCTAGCTGCTGTTAACCACCCGCAAAAATAAGAATACTACCAGAATACAAAATAAGATTTCTGTAACAGAAATCTAAGAGAATAACAACTGAATTCAGTTTATTTCTATAGCTCCAATTCACATCATGTCATCTCAGGTCACTTTATAGATCCAGATCAACCAGATCATCCAGTCAGATTGATTCAAAGTTTTCTATCTAAGGAAAACCAGCTGATTGCATCGACTCATTGACTCTTCAGCAATCCCTCACACTAAGCATGCTTGTAGCGACAGTGGAGAGGAAAAACTCCCTTTGAACAGGAAGAAACCTCCAGCAGAACCAGGCTCAGTGTGAGCGGCCATCTGCTGAGGCCCACTGGGGTTCAAGGAGACAGAAGCAGACATAGA